AATATATGTCGGGTTGCGGACCGGCTGTGTTCTCTGGCGTTCCATTTAGGCAAAAATGTTCAGTAATATTAATTAATATGAGATTTTAAGAATAATATATATCCGTTTAAAATTTTTATTTGAAAATTCAAAAGGTTTTAAAAAGTGTGATGATTTATTTAATTTATTTAACATTTCTATTCAGACTTTTTAAGGTGTGACTGAATATGAGTTATGATCGAACTTAACCGATTATAACTGTTGAGTCATTTCATACCAAATCGACTAACTTAAAATTGAACTCAACTCAATTCTCATATTCTTTTATAAATATAATTAAATATTATTTATCAATTATTGTTACACATCACATTAATTTTAATTCACAATTTATCCACTCGTATAATTTTAACTATCTATCACTTCTTATAATTTTTATCTTATTTTTACATCAAATAAATTTTAATAATTATATTGAAATATTATTTAATTTTAAGTTCAAAATCATCTACTCAATCTATTTTATTCAAAATAATTTACTTTAATTCCTTTCTCTTTCAACTCACCAGGTTGAATCATAAATTCATATATAATCCCCACTTAATACTCCATGAAAGTTATAAGATAAAATACATTTACGAAATTCCAAACTAATTCCCACCTCCAATCAAATAAGATTTCAAAAGATTCCATTTAAATTTAAAAATTTTAAATTTTATAAATTCTTAAAATATCGCTCAAAATCATATCCTCCCTAAACTTCTAGGTGCCAACAAAGTTTCAATAAANGAGAGAATGAAAATGGAATAATTATTTTCGTTTGTGCTATGAATCAATTGGTGGGAGTAATTATAAATTTTTTTTGGTCCATTTCTGATACTCCTTTAAATTTCTGTAATTATGTTGTCTTTCAATATTATAAGATCAGGCAATTTTAATGTGTATGAGTTATGAAAATGTCCCACCACTAAAAAAATACAGTGTGACCGAAAATTAATGGTTTTATGAAAAGAAAAAGAAAAAAGATCAGTTTCCATGTTTCCAGGTTGTAGCTGCCTCTTTGGCCGGCACATATATCGCAATGAAGATCAAAGTAATAATTTTACTGATTTTTATAATATAATACTATAATAGTTGGCTAGAAGAAAAATGGAAATGAACATTAGTTTAAAATCAATTAATTCAATTTCTCATTTGAAAAAGAAAATGAATTCAGCTCATTAAAATGTTTTAAAATAGGCATTATAACTTATAAGAGTATTTTGTTAGTTTTGTTAAGAATTTAAAATCAACTATTAAGAGAATTATTGTTTTCAATTAAATAAATTATAAAATATTTTTCCCGGCCTTCACTATAATATGTCCTATGTCCTAACTAGTGGATCATATTTCATGAACAAATTATATATTATATATTTACGCATGAATATATAAAATATTCACGAATTACAAAACTATTCATATTTCATGAACAAATTATATGTTATATATTTACGCATGAATATATAAAATATTCACGAATTACAAAACTATTTATTCTTGTGTAGCTTTATATCTTGACGTTGCTGCTGGAATTGTTGTCCCCACAATGGTTTGGAATTTGGATTTAACCATAAAAAAAATGATCCAATTGTAGCTCGCATCCACAGGTGGGCATTTTTCTTTACAGCATTAGGTCATCAATTATTAAAAAAAAAAAAAATTGGTAGGCTCAATATAGTGTATTATATTTAAATATTTAAAATTATAATTTAAAAGGTGATTGCATCAAAATTAAAAAGAAATACTCAGTTAATTTTATTTTTTTCTGAACTGGATCTGATCAAACACTTTCATTGAGCTCCATAGCCTTCATTTAAAGATATATATGATTCATATTTCATAATTTGGCCTGCCACTACATTATTTCATAACTGTCAAAACTTTGAATAGAAGAACACATGTACATCATCATATCGCCCACACATCAATCTTTTCGTAGTAACAGTTAATTATTGCTTTTGCACATCTTTGGGCTTTCTCACGTGCGTTATCAATATATTTTATAAATTTAAAATTAATTTTTTATTTTAGTAATAAGTAGTATATATATATATATATAATTTTGTAAATTTAAACATAATTTTTTATTACATAATTAGTCTACTGATCGGTTGACTATATGCGCTTTAAAATATTAGTATATGTAAGCAAAATGTTAGGGTTTGATTGTTTATGAAATAATTTGTTGTTATTTTTGTTAACTATAGTTAATTTTAAAAAAGGTGATATAGTTGATTGTTAGTGGAATTTTAAAAATGTATTAAAATAATATTTAAAATAAAATAATTAAAATTGATTTGATGTAAAAGTAGGAGATAAATGATTGGAAATGATAGGTAGTTAAAATTATGTAAGTGGATGAATAGTGAATTCAAATTGATGTAATGTGTAAGAATGATTGGTTTGTAATATTTAATTAGATGAACAACATTAAAGAGAGTGGGGTTGAATTAAAGTTGAATTAGATTTTGAGTATGAGATAAATGTGAGTAAATTAACTTATAAACAAGCATGCCCTTAATTTTGGATCACTTGGAAATGCTGATATTTATCAAGTCACATATTTGTAACTATAATATTTTATATTATTATTTTCACAATCACATCATATTTCAGCATTACTCTTTATGTCACATCACTTTTCATTCTTGGAATAATTTTTTTTTTTTCACCAATTTTTTTCTCCAACCAAAAAGTTTTCATTCACATAAAATACATTCAGTCTCACAATTAACGCTCAATAGAATTGAAAGAAAAGAGAAAGTGCAAACATGAAGAACACAAAGAGAATTCACTGTTTCATTGTTGTTCAAAATCTGGAAAAATTTTCATTAACTAAGAAGATGATACATGATCTCATTACATAGCCTATCATTCATAGAACACTCTAGAAATAGCATCAATTACCTAACAAGGAATATTCCCTATCAATTCTCATCCATAAGCTGCCATGGTATAATGCTAAGGTGGCAAGGTGACATCACAAGGTAAATGCCGTGCATGGGGAATTTCCTCGTCCTTTTTAACCTGCATGGGGCCAGAATGTGTAGCAGGTTTTATTTGCTTGATGTGGGACTTTTGTTGCTTATCATTTTGAGAAATACTTCCAATACTCTCCCTCAATTCAAATGCTCTCTTTGACATACCTTGCAACTTGTTTTTTAAGAGCATGAAGAATTGGCCTGTCAATGGTTTAGTGAAAGAATCTGCAATTTGATCAACACTAGGAACATGCTCCACCATGATGCTTTTCTGAAGAACTTTATCTCTTACAAAATGAAGATCAATCTCAATATGCTTAGTTCTTGAATGAGACACTGGGTTTGCTGCTAGGGAAACAACACTTTGATTATCAACCCAAATGGTTGGAATTCTGGGCAACTTAAACCTTAATTCATTCATAAATGACTGAATCCAAGTAACTTCACAAGTAGCATTAGCCAAACTTCTATATTCTGCTTCTGTGCTAGACCTTGAGACAGTAGGTTGCTTCTTTGAACTCCAAGACACAAGATTATTTCCAAGGAAAACACAATATCCACTAACTGATTTTCTATCATCCACATCAGTGGCCCAATTAGCATCTGCAAATGCATTAATACCAAGATGACTGTTTCTTGTGAAATGAAGTCCATAATCTCTTGTTCCTGCAAAGTACCTGAGAATCCTCTTCACTGCCTTCCAATGTTCATTCAAGGGATTCTGCATGTATTGACTAACCTTATTCACTGGAAAGCATATGTCAGGCCTGGTTATGGTTGCATATTGCAATGCAGCAACCATGATTCTATAAAGTTTTCCATTTTCAAAAGGCTGTCCCTTGAACTTAGAGAGGTGCTGACCAGAAAGCATTGGACTGTTTAGTCCTTTGGCATTAATCATGTTCACTCTCTGGAGAATATCTTCAATGTAACTTTCTTGACTTAGAAATACACCCTGAGTTGTTTGAGAAAAATGGATTCTCAGAAAATAATTCAAAGTCCCAAGATCTTTAAGTGCAAAATGAAGAGTTAAGTTATCAATGACCATCTGAACCTCTAAAGCATTTGATCCTGTTACAATTATGTCATCAACATATGTCAAAATGAAGATGGTTGAAGCTTGAAAGTGTCGGATATAAAGGGAAAGATCAACTCTAGATGAGTGAAAACCAAATGTGGAGAGGACTGAGGCAAACTTAGAAGTCCAAGCCCTTGAAGCTTGCTTGAGGCCATAGAGGGATTTGTTCAATTTGCAGACTAAGCCTTCCCCTTGAACAAAGCCAGGAGCTTGTTTCATAAAAAGAACAGTGTCAACATCCTCATTCAAAAAAGCATTATCCACATCCAGCTGTCTAACACACCAATTCTGAGACAAGGCAATAAAAAGAATCACTCTAATGGTGACAGGCTTTATCACTGGGCTAAAGGTACCTGTGTAGTCAAACCCAGCAATTTGAGTATATCCTTTGGCTACTAACTGAGCCTTATACTTGGCAATGGACCCATCTGCATGTCTCTTTATCTTGAAAACCCATCTACAACCAATAGCTGTGGCATCTGCAGGTAAGGGAGTAACAGACCAAATGTTATTTTTCAATAAGGCAGCATATTCTTTGACCATTTCTTCTTTCCACAGAGGATGAGCAAGAGCTTGTTGATAAGTGGATTCAACATCAGACAATGATGCATGGTTCAACTCAGCAGCCTAAACTTTGGGTTTGAAAATTCCTTTGCCTTTGATCTGGTCACCATTGGATGCATGTTGTGATCTGAAGTTTCTAGTGTGGATGACTTGTACATACCTGTATGCTCATGAGAAAATGGTAAAATAGCATTGCTTGTATCAGTCTCAATAGGTAATGCTATAATAACTGTCCTTTAGAAATGGATTGTGTAAGTGGCGAGTGGGAAGAAGAATGAGGAGAATGTAAGGATTGATGAGGAGAGGATATGTTGGTTTGAGTGAGAGTATGGTTATGTGGAGATGGAAGATTTGAGCTTCTTGGAATGGGAACAAGAGGTGGTGAGGGTATATATGAAGAGAAGGATGAATCAGTAGACTAAATTTCATTGGGTTTGTGAACAAAAGGGAAAAAGGTTTCATCAAAAACAATGTCCCTAGTGACAATTACCCTTGGAAGCAAAACTTTGTATCCTTTGTACTGGGGACTATATCCAAGAAAAGATCCTCTATCCTATCTGAAATCAAGTTTGTGCTTCCCATAAGGCCTTAAGTGAGGATAACAAAGACAACCAAAGGTCTTAAGATTTCTGTACTCAGGTTTCTTGTTGTAAAGGACTTCATAGGGAGTTAAATAGTTCAACACCTTAGAGGGAGTTCTATTTATGAGATAAGTAGCAGTAACAAATGCATCATCCTAATATCTCTGTGGCACATGTGATCTAGCCAGCAAGGAAAGTCCCACTTGGACAATATGCTTGTGTTTTCTCTCAACCAACCCATTTTGCTCTGGAGTATATGGGCAAGAGATCCTGTGCCTAATTCCATTTTCAGAAAAGAATCCACTCAATGCTTTGTACTCTGTGCCCCCATCACTTTACACACACTTAACTCTTTTTCCAAACTGAGTTTCAACATGTTTTTTGAAATGTTGGAACACTGTGTAAACTTCAGACTTTTGTTTCAGGAGATAAATCCATGAGTATCTACTTGCATGATCAATAAAAGAAACATAGTACTTAAAACCATTAACAGAAGAAATAGGAAATGGCCCTCATAAATCAGAGTGAACAAGCTAAAGATGATCATAAGATTTTATTTCAGCATCTAAAAAAGGTAGTTTGTGGCTTTTGGATTTCATACAAGCCTCACATACAGGATTTTTCTCAAGATCATAAGGCTATACTATTTTCTTTCAAGGTCTTTCTTACAATATCAAAAGAAGCATGACCTAATCTATCATGCCAGACATGAAGTCCAATCCTGTGATCAACTGAATTCACCCACTTTGGCCTCTTATTTCCAATAGAAAAACTGATGCTGTTTGAAACTCCGTTAGATTTTGATAACTTGAGATTGTAGAGTCCATCTTCAACTCTCCCTTGAAGTAGAACCTGTCCTGACCCCAGAGCCTTCACAACACAATGAGTATGATAGAATTAAAAGTACACTTGGTTACCTTTAGCAAATTGAGAAACACTTATAAGATTCTTTTTATACAGGGACATGAAGTAGGTTTTTGAGTAAGAAGCTGTGAGATGAATCTGAAGGACTAAGTATAGAATTACCATGATAGAAATCAACAAACCTGTGCCATTTCCCATAAGAACTCTCTCTGATCCTTGATATTCTGAGTCAAGATTGAGGTTGTTGAAATCATAGGTGATGTGGCTGTTTGCTCCAGAATCAGGATACCAAGATGTCTCTGAGGTGTTGTCATTGCTGCTTCCTGCAATGCTTTGTGTTTATTCACTGCAGCAAGATTGGTATTAACTTGATTCTGACCAAAAGTGAAGTTGTTGTTGTTGTTGGGAGGAATATAGCCAAGATCTGTCCTGCAGAAACATCTCTCTGCAGTGTGATTGTTCCTATGGCATATTTGGCATCTTGGTCGTCTATTAGACCTTCCTCTTCCTCTGCCATTACCTCTGAAAGTTGATCTTCCTCCTCTATCATAGTTGTGTACTGAGTCTGTTCCTCTTCCTCTATTTCCAGTGAAACCTCCTCTTTGAGCATTGCTTTGAGTTGAGAAGTTCACAGTTGGAACAGAACCTTCAATACTGATTTGGCTTTGATCAAATCTTTCTAGCCTGGCTTCAAAGGTAAGAAGGAGAGATGTTGCTTCTAGTATGGTGACTGAATCTGTCTTTGATGAGATGGTAACAACAATGAGGTTATACTCTGGTCCTACAACAATGAGGTTATACTCTGGTCCTAACCCTGCCATGATGTAGAGGAGATGATCATCTTGAGATATCCTGCAACCAGCTGAAGCAAGAGCATCACATATGCTTTTGATTTTGTTTAGATAATCCCTCATTGACTGAGATCCTTTCTTGCTGTTTTGCAGTTGTTCCTTGAGCTGAAGGACCTTTGCTCTCGATTGACTGGAAAAACTCACTTCAAGAGTGTGCCATATCTCATGAGCTGTGTTGAATCCTACTACAGAGATTAGGATTCCTTCTGACAGAGAGGCTAGCAACCAGGAGACTAACAGTTGATCTTGCTTGATCCAGCTTACATATTGTGGATCCAAACTTCCATCTTGAGTGTGAGGATTGCTAGGGCCCTTCTCTTCACCAGTGAGATAGCCTTCTAGTCCATATCCTTTCACAGCAGCAAGAATTTGATGTTTCCAGATGAGGTAATTGCTCTCATTGAGCTTGACTGTAATGAGTTGGCTAAGAGGTTGGAGAATCTGATTAGGATTTGAGGAAATTTCTGAGGATGTACTCATGGTGAAACGAGTTTAAGGAAATTTAGAACTATAGAGAGGATTAATCAGGCCCCAGAGTTTATCTTGGGGCTCTGATACCATGAAAGAAAAGAGAAAGAGCAAACATGAAGAACACAAAGAGAATTCACTGTTTCATTGTTGTTCAAAATCTGGAAAAATTTTCATTAACAAGAAGATGATACATGACCTCATTATATAGCCTATCATTCATAGAACACTCTAGAAATGACATCAACTACTTAACAAGGAATATTCCCTATAAATTCTTATCCATAAGCTGCCATGGTACAATGCTAAGGTGGCAAGGTGACATCATAAGGTAAATGCCGTGCATGGGGAATTTCCTCGTCCTTTTTAACCTGCATGAGGCCATAATGTGTAGCAGGTTTTATTTGCTTGATGTGGGACTTTTGCTGCTTATCATTTTAAGGAATACTTCCAATAAGAAATTTGATATTTTACGTATAAAATAAGAAAAATGAAAAAACATGAAAAATGTCCACAATAATTTTAACCTTATTTAATAATTTTAATTATAATTTTTTTTTACCTAGATAACCGTCACCATTACATTGGATAACATCGCCAACAACATGAACTTCATTTATCTACCTTATTATCACTGAATGTATAAAGATGAAAAGAAAATAACAAATAAAAAACATATGAAAACCACCCAAAAAATATTTCATTGATATATGAACTTATAAAGTTTTCTTTATTCGTGTATTTTATTTAAAAGTTTAATGAATTTTCTTCATTAATAAAATGGATCAATCTACCACTACTAATCATACTATAATCAATTATATTGTTGCTTATTCTTTGTTTTTATAATCTTTCAAATTCAATTTTTGAAGATCACACGAACATTCTCATTAATAATTGTATTTATTTATTTTTATTTAATTGTGTATTTTTCCTTAAAAACTTATTAAATTTTAGGAGTAAAATTGAAAGTAAATGACAACTTACCAACCGATTAATTAAAAAGTAAATAAATTTAATATAGACATTTCTCTCCCAACTAGTCCCAAGTGTGGGCCATTTGAAAGTTCATTGGGCCATTTGAAAATTTATTGGGCCATTTGAACAGAGGCTTATACGATGTCATTGGATTCAATATTCGTACTTCGCTGTTGATTACTACTTTGAGTCTTGATTTTCAAGTGACTGCACTTGCATTTGCATCTATGTATAGATTTCCAGTGCAGTAGGTGACTATAGCTTGTACTATTTGGACATATCATACTATTAACGTGGCATTTTATTCGATGTACTAAGTTCAACTACCATTACAACATATCACATGAACTATAAAATGTAAATTGTGCATTTACGAAAAAAAAATTGATCAAATTGTTTTAGATAGCTAAAATCATCATTTCAACTAAAATATTTACAATCTAGAATAAAATAATTCATGACATTCGATTCATTAGATTGTGGTCAGATTATAGTTGATAATAATTTAAAGCAAATTTACAAAACAAATCACATTTACCTCAATTACTATTTAATTTAAGTTCAACTTTTAAATTTTGACAATTTAAGGTAAGACTTTTTAAATTATTAAATTAAAATTGAGACATAAACTCAGGTGTTAGTGACCCACAAATTTGTGTGCAACTATATTTTCTTGATATCATTTGCATTACAAATAAACATAAAATTTCAATTCATCTATTTCATTATACGACAGACAATAGTCCAATGACGCAAGTAAATTTGAGTTGAATTATTGTCGGACCAATTTTGCTCAGGGGGAATTTAGCATTTAAAGCGGTAGATATGATAAAGTTTAGATGGGTTTTAAGAAATTTATTTTTCAAAATTTTAATCAAGGTGGGCATTAAATGAGAGTTGGATTTTGCCGGGTCAATCGCAAAAGTTTGACCCGACAGCAAGGGCAAAAGCGCCAATCCACAAGCGCACACGGCAAACCCATGACCGGACAATTCGGTTGGCCCATCACTCCTCCATTTCCCTCCAAATCTCCGCAGCCCGAAAAAAAAAATATTAATAATAATAATAATAAACTAATTTAAATTGCAAAAGAACCCCCAAATTCCAACTTAACCCCAATCACCGCCAGCCATGAGTTCACTGACCGACGGGACCGTAAAGGCCCAAAAGCTGTTACCAATGTCAGCCCACGCCGCTCCTAATCGCGCGTGGGCCGTCGTTCCCACGCGCCCACCCCGGCGATACCCCTTTCAGTCACCCCAATCCCTCGCCCCTCTTTCCCACCATTCATATTCCTTCCCTTTTCACTCCGCCGCCTGCCCTTCACATCTTCTCCTAAAAATTCATAATCGCCGTTTGGGTAAATCTACAGATCGATGGGTGAATTGACGGAATCGTCCAACCCTCAGGCGCCTGCGCGGCAGGCCTCTATCCGCGAGGACTGCTGGACGGAGGAAGCGACCTCGACCCTCGTCGACGCATGGGGTCGGCGGTACCTGGACCTCAACCGCGGGAATCTCAGGCAGAAGGACTGGCAGGAGGTCGCCGACGCCGTCAACGCCCTCCACGGCCACACGAAGAAGACCCGCCGAACCGACGTCCAGTGCAAGAACCGGATCGACACCCTGAAGAAGAAGTATAAGGTCGAGAGGGCCAGGATCTCCGATTCCGGCGGGAGGGCGGCGTCGTCCTGGCAGTTCTACTCTCGTATGGAGCTCCTCGTCGGATCCAGTCCCAACAAGGGAAAGGCGAGCCCGCCGGCGGCGCCGCCTCAGTTTACGCCGCAGCTTTCCCTGCCTCCGCCTCCGTTCGCCGTGCCGTTGGCCTACCGCAGGCCGATTTCGCCGGCGACGATGAAGCCGGCGGTTCTTCCGCAGAAGCGCCCGCTTCCGGCGGCGGCGTCGGTGGATGGGGCGTCTTATTTCAGGAAGAATTACTCGGCGATCGCCGCTGCAGCTGCTGCCGCCGAGGATGACGGAGGGTTTGAGGGGGATGAGGTGGAGGAGAGCCAGGATATGGCCGATGAAGAAGATGAAGTTGTTGGGGGTGATGGGTTCCTTAGGCTGGCCAAGGCTATAGAGTCTTTTGGAGAGATTTACGAAAAGGTTGAGATTATGAAACAGAGACAGATGGTGGAGTTGGAAAAACAGAGGATGCAGTTTACTAAGGATTTGGAGGTTCAGAGGATGCAGTTGTTCATGGATACTCAGGTCCAGCTGGAGAAGGTCAAGCGGGCCAAACGGAACGGATCATCTGAAGGTAACCGTTTCTATTCCTTGGATTTATACTTCTTATTGTTTTGTCACAATCTTTTTTCCATTTGATTGTATTTATATTGTTTCGTTCGTTCATTTGATTGTATTTATTTTGGGCTTAATCCGTATTTTTCTAGACTTGGTGAATTTTTGGCTAGTTCTTGCAGATGTTTTGTAGATTAAGGGATGTGTTTCTTATCACCCCATATTATTATTTGGGCACCCGTGTGCTCGATTTTTTGAGATTGAAATCAGAGTTGGTAATGGGATACGACTTATTTGGGAGTGTTTAAACTTGTGATTATCAGTTCAAGTGCTTGTTTACGGGAGCAAACATGAGCTCATCGTGATATAAGTGGAAAACTATGACTTTGAGTTTTGATGGATTAGAATTTGAGGATGTGGGCTTGATTGCTATGTATACTAATACTCTTGCATATATGTTACATATGATAATTCTAATGGAAGCCTAGGGTAATTTCTTTAGCAGTTTTGATAACATTAGAAGCTTACTCGAAAGTAATTAGACTTATATCTATGTGCTTTTTCTGTATCATCAAATTCATTTTGATTACGCTCTCCGTGCTGAGGAAGAACTTTACATTTGTTCCTTTAACTCTGTTGTACAGCATCTTGAAATTTGGCTTATGTTAACTTCTGTTTACATTATATATATATATATTTTTTTCTAAAAATATACTTTTTAACCAGTTTTCGCTGCAGTCATTTTCGTTTGTGCTACACTAGTTGTGTTATAAACATTCCCCCAATGCTTTTTATGCACAACACAACTAGCTAGCCTCTTTTTCTGGAAATCTTATTTTGTCAACTTGTACATTCAAATTGGTCCTCCCTTAATACTTTGATTTTTTTTTTTCGTGTTAATATGCAGGTATTTATAGCTAGCTGTGCGAAATGAGAGTCCTTTGTAGGAGTTATAAGGCACTGAAGTTCATTGCCCTTTTGACTTACACTACGCCCTGTTAATAGGTGAAAATGTGTTTTCCTTTTTTTCTTTTTTTGTTATGGCTGAGAGAAATGGGATAGCTGATAATCTCTGAATGGTGTTTCGATTCTAACATCTTTGTAGTGTGGCTTATTAATCTTACTTTTGATCCGCTTGTCGACAGAAAATACGTGTTTAGTTCATTTGGATGCCTTTTCATTTATTCGTACCCACATTGAACTTGAGCACAAATATATATCGAGATATTGTTGGTAAATAATGTGAAGCTATTCCTAATTCCTATCCTCTCATATCCTTGTTATATATTTCGATTCTTGATTTTGGATTTTGTGTCTTCCTTTCGGTTACAGGATTGTGGTAATTGTATATATACATGAATTATTCATAAATTATCTGTATTTTCATGTTTCACTTTCTGGGTTCTATATTTCTTGTCTACTTGATTTTCTGCAATTTCTTTCAGTTATGTGATGCTTCAGAACTCACATGGTGCTTTTGCCTTTATATTATTGCAGATTAGTTAAGGGTGTGATTGGATGTACGTCTGAACTTTGCAATTTAATTTCTCAACTATTTAATAATTCATATCGATGGTTCAAACTAATTTTTGTTTTTGATTTTTATTTTTTTTTTTTTAAATTTTTGTGAACTTAAGTTTTGTTTTCTATTATGAACTTCCGTGTGCTTTTCTCTATGTATGTTCTTTTGGTNGCTGACTCGGTGAAGTCGAGCCGTGAAGGTTTCTTCACGTGATTGGAGTGCGGGCCAGATCTTCGATTAGTTCAGGGGTGCGGGTATCCGTCTTGCTAGGCTTTTCGCAGTGGCGGGCGGTTGTTCTCGCGCTCGGGAGCCGTCGTTGGGGTTGGTTGTCTGCCATCAATTTCGAATTATCTGGCGGGGGAGGCTATTTGATTATGTTTGTATTTTGATTTATTTACTCTTAGATTTGTGTTTTGGTATTTTAGAATTGTGTTTTTGGTCTAGTCGTTTGGCCTCTGTGAAACTGAGTGTCACCTTATTATCCCAATGGGATCAGACACTCGAGTATTACTCCATTGGGATCCTTTTAGTTGTTAGTTGTTCTGACCTGTCCTCCCACTTTTTCAGTTGTTGACTGCTGTTTATTCAGTCGTTGGCTGCTGTGTATTCGTACATTTGTGCCTTTTGATTTATAATATAATCTATCGTTTCAAAAAAAAAAAAAAAAATTGTAATAGTTTTGAAAACTAAAGGTGGATATCAAACATAAATCAGATCACAAGGAAATAATAACCCTCGTTACAAAGGGAAAGCAGCTAGCAAAATATCAGCTGCATGAGTTTTATAACATATCCAGATTATGATCAATTAGTATAACATAAAAGCTATATAGGATTTATTTTACTTTCATTTGAACTCCATCTACATTTCAGAACAACTTCATTTTTCCTGAAGTTTGCATTTCGAATAATATACTCATAATAATCTACATATATTTATATCCTGTAACAACTAATTAGGTGATCTGAATAAATTCTGATCATCTGCCACACGATCTTCTTACTACTAATCTATCCTTAAACCCTGATCAAGTCGTGCCAAACGTTGGATACCAGCAATCCTTTCTTGCTCCATTCGCTACAGTTTGCAAGGTTCAGTCCTGTAAAATGATTAAAAAAGATGAAAATGTAAAGATCTTTTTTATTTTATTTTATTTTTTTTCTTTTTAGAGAATTATGTTCTAAAATACACATACACACACACAATCACCGAAAACTATAGTACATACCAATTAATCACATGTAATCTTCAAACACACCTGCTTTTGATGTTCAAGATAACATTTCTTTATGCACTTCCTCATGACCAATTAATTTGTGTTTCTAATAGAAACTTTTGTTTTTAGTTTACCTAAAAACTAAAGATTAAAAAGCAAATTTTTATGAGCAATGTAGCTGCAAATTCTGTGAGCTTGGACTAAGGATTTGTCAGGAAATTCAGCACAAATATGATAAAAAGTGGTAAATATATCTGGGCCTCTATTTGATTCTAGGTATTGAAATAAATCAGCATCTTTTTATATTAATGTCACTAGTGAGAATTTGGATACAACTCACCCAAATATTGGTACATTTAGTCAATTTAATTAATTAATTAAGTTGAGACTGATAATTATACTACTAAAACTAGGCAAATTAGCCAAAGTGTGATACCAATTACAGTTGATTTTGTCCATAATGAAAACCAAACATAAGTTTTGAAACTAGGAAAAGATTTTGTGCTTAAAAATATTCAAGTTCCTGTTTAGATGATTGATACGTGTATAATTGTGACATCATCGTGAGGATATGTTATTTTTGAAATGAAATGGAACATGAAATCTCGTCCTTGTGTCAAACTTAGGATCAGATATTCACTATTGTAGTCCTCAGTTACTCTATTTATTTATTTACTTTTCGTGAACCAAAGTAAAAGTATATATAAGAAAATAATTTCAAGTTCAGTATTCAACATTTTTGGTTCAAAGCTAGTTCAATCGATTGTTAACATGTTCTGTAAAGCTTTCAATAGATAAGTTCGATTTATTGCAATCAAATTCAATCTGTATAACAACAAACACCTTTCATGAAGCTTTATCTAGTTTTATAGAAAAAAAAAAGACCAAATTTCAAGACAAGGTATATTAATAAGTAGAAAATCAAGGATTATATTACTAAATACTTTAGAAAAGCTAAATTGTCATTTTGAAATCCAAAGGGGGTTAAGATGATCATAGTCTTAGATTCATGTTGCCTCATTTCATGAAAAACCGCAGACAAAATAATACGCTGTAACTTGTAAGGTCATTCATGTCTTGGGTCCCAAAAGAACCCAAAGAAAAAAAAGGAAATATATTTTAATTGGAATAAAATTGGATTTATTTGGATACATTTTTTTTTTAAATTAAAAATACACACTGGATTGCTTGATTTAAGAGAGAAATAAACATTGGAGGCACATCAGTATTCAGTAATCAAGTGGGCAGTATCAAATTGCAGTATTTATTTTAGTGAATTAAGAAAATTAGAAAAAGGAAAGCGGTCCAAAAAAATCCCAAATTGCCAAATTTTACTGTACTCTGGTGCACCAAAAGTGGATATAAGTATATCAAAACATCAAAATTAGGGCTTTCTTTTAAGTCTCTGGATCTAGGGTTTCTCTGTACTTTATTTAGTAATAATACAGAATTCTTGAATATACCCATATTTGTGATCATATAAGTAATGTGGTCCCAATTATTTTGTCTGTTTTCAGTCTTTCCTTCACATATATTCAAGAAAATTATTCAAAAAAATCATTTATTTTTTTTTTAGTTTTTCTAAATGACACTTTCCCCCAAAAAAATCCCCAAAAACGAAAAAAAAGAGAAAAAAACAGAGTTACTAATAATAAAGTAATAATTCATAAGGTATAGTAAGTACCCTTTTTATTTCAGGCCGGCATCTTCTGATTCTTGACGGCCGGCGGGTCTTGACCCTTGACCGATGGCGGCGGCATCTTTCTCTTCTTCTTCTTCTTGTACGGTATACCTCGGGCTTTGGCCTGACAGTCCTTGACCTCCCTGAGATAAACCCGGATCGCCCCGTTTCCGAACGGGTTGGCCTCCGGCGACCCGCCGTGCTCCTCGTAGGCGGCCCTGAGGCGGCCGATCAGCGCGTCGAGGCTGCCCCACGCCTGCCGGAGCGGGCAGGTGCACGGCGCCGGCGGGTCGGGCTGCCCGAAGAAGACGCATCCATGCAGGTGGACCTTAGTCTTTCCGAACTGGTCGAGATACCGGAGAAAATCCAGCACGTGGTTGCAGTTGCACTGGGAAAGGGACACCGGCGGCCGCTGGTTCTTCAGGTACTGCCCGAAAGTGTTCCAGTCCCGCCGCTTCTGGGACTCGTACCGGCTGAGCGGCGGCGATGGGGCCGCCGGAGGAGGAGGGGGCGCGGCGGATGGGTTACTGGGGGAGGGGTGGTCGCCGCCGGAGTTCATGGTCCCCCTTTTCTTTTTTAATTTAATTTTTATTTCTTTTGGTTTTGGGAGGTTTTTGTTAATGGAGGTGGGTTTAATTAAAAATGTGGATAGAATTAGAGAGAGAATTTTTTATATAGTAATATTTATTTATTTTTTTTAATTTTTTTTTTATATTTATTGGTTGGTAAATAGGAAAGATGGAGGAGATTGGTTAGAGAACGAGAAGATTAATGATCATGGGCATCCCAAGAGTCTACGAGGAGACATGAGGTGGGCCCACCTAGTGAGAAT